CCCGTATTTGACCGAGCGTCCAAAAAGTAGTGGTGGCTGCATTTTAAATTCGGTCTGAGCATTACACTGAGGATTCCCACCTTCAGCTACCGATGTCCGCCATTAACCATCTGAAAAGCTATTGACAGTTTGGGGGCTGGCTTATACTTTTGGATTTTTAATTTGGAGAAAGGTAGATGCATGGCTGGAAGCAGACACGAATGGAGGCATGGGAGGCAAAACGCTGGCAGAAGCATGGGCAACTCCATATTCACGGCCTCGCTGGAAGGGAAGCACACCAACACGGCAGAGCAATAGTTGGAAGCACATGGTGAAGCAAACACGCGGCCAGTCTGACAAACCATTCACAGTATGGGTTTCTGAAGAAAATATTTTTTTTTTGGCTGACACTTTCACTTTCGGCGTTGTCTGCCACGGGTGCTCTGGTACCTCTGTCTGCCACGGGTGCTCTGGTGTCTCTGTACAGATTCCATCGGTAAGGCCACTACACCACTAACACACTCACATGCTGAGGAGGAGGGCAGCGGGGAGGTTAAAAAAAAAAAGAAGACTTAACTAAGGAGGGGGAGATCAAAAAAAAAAGGAGAGGAGGGAGCCTTAGTACAGGAGCTAAAAAAAACTCCATCATCGTCGTATCCTTGTTGCCATCCGGTGACCTTTGGTCACATTCACTACAATTTTGTGGCACCTGCAACAACGCTGGGAAGGAAGGGGAAATTGAATCCAGTAAAGAAAAGGAGACTAAGACAAAAAGGAAAATTTTGATCTTCTCTTGAAGCTGCGAAGCGTCAGGTCGTATACCTAAAACTCTTTGGTCATGCTTATCTATAATCCATAGACATGTTTCTTTATGCATGGGATGAATGAAATAGTGGTTCGGTATTGGTTACGTTCGTTCCTCTGTTGATCAAAGCACCTGTTGTTTCAACAAGATTCGTTCAGTTATAAGTAACCATAGTACAAGAGTGTTTTCCTCAACTAAAAATATTTCAGTATCCATGTACCCAGAAACACACAAACTTCCCTTATTGAGACCGGTGATCCACGCTATCATTTTCATTCCTCTGCTTTTCGTCTTCATCTCCAACGCCTTATACACACAGCTTACCTCAATGTTGGGTCCCCTCCCTGAATTATCAACAATATTCACTTGCACCCCTCGGCCCCTCACTCCCAACCACACACGCCCTGCCAAATCACATTCTTCTCGTTAACACCCCCCTTTCGAACCTCAGATCTCTCTGCCCTATCTCCGTTTCCTTAAAGTCATCAAATCCCTCCATCTTCGATAAGATTTACCCCTAAACTATTTCCCATTCATCTCTTTCATTAGATTAGGTCATCAGTAACCCTACGGCACCTCCACAGCCCACTTAGAACCCTCTCCTCCGCCCTCAACATTCTCCCATTACCAGACAACTCAACCTCCAACTACCGCGAACCACACCAAACCTGCAAGAAGTACCAGAAACAACCTAACCCATATCTCCCCTCACACGCACGCTGACACTGGTCCTCATTCATCCCCCAACAATTCATACCCAATAGGGAAACCGTAACCAACCCAATGGATGCCACCATTATCATATTCTTCGAAAATTTATATCCCCACACAGAAACAGAATATAGATAAAGGTGACCAGGAGAACCCATCGTGGTGGCCTCGGTGGCGACGGGTATCGGTGGCGACGGGATCGGTTCACGGCTGCCAGACGGGTGGAGGTTTGGACGTGCGGCGGAGACAGGTCCTCCTGGGTACCCCTTCGAGGCAGCGAGCGACGAGAAAAAGGAGGCAGCGGCTCCGCGGTCGCCAATGGTTCTGCTGCCGGAGTTGTCGCCGGCAAGGCCAAGGCGGGTTCCGACTGAGGCCAGCGGTGGCCGTTGTCTGACCGAGTCGATGGTAGCCTGCGGGCGAGAGACGAAGAGACACATCCTGGGGTCTAGAGAGTGTGTAGTGAGGGGTGAGCGGAGGGAGAGTGTTGTGATCTGAGGGGTGAGAATAGGAAGACGAATGCTGAAACCCCTAGGGGATGTCTCGTCAGAAAAAACCGCCCCGAGCCTGGCATGCCAAAGAAAAAACCCTTTCCCTTTTGAGCGACACCTCTGTGTTTCATTTCGCACCCCATACATTTCGGCCATGCTGACAAGCCCACAACATTACCCAAACGAAGTTATTTTTGTTCCTCTTGCTCTTCTGTTCAAGCCCCGTCCGTCTGGGCCTAAGGCCCAGTTTGCTGTCGGAAATAAGTTGATCTGGGCACCCTGTTATCACTTCCACACCTTTAGGTTTGGGTTTAGGCCCAATACTAAAAAAAAAGAGAAAGAAAAGTTACCCCGTCTCTTTTCTCGGCGTCCCGCTTTTTGTTTTGATTTATTTCTGTTGGCTTTATTTTTTTTGTTGTTGTTGTTTTCTGTTTTATTATTATGTTATTTGTCTTTATTGTTTTTTTATTATTGTTTTTTATTTAAATATTTTTTAATAATCTAAAATAATGATACTAAAATATTTATTGAGTACAAATAAATATGTTTTTAAAGGTTTAGGCACAGTGTGATCGCACGCATCGTCCTTGTGCTAAAACCTTTTCTTTTCTTCAAAAAATCAAAAATATTTTAAAGGTTTAGGCACATGTGTGATCGCGCATCGTCCTTGTGCTAAAAACCTTTTTTCTCTTTCTCAAAAAAAAATTATTATTTTTAAAGGTTAGGCACACGTGTGATCGCCCGCATCGTCCTTGTGCTAAAAACTTTTCTCTTTTTAAATAAAAAAAAATGTTTAAGGTTTAGGCACACGTGTGTACCGCACGTGTCCTTGTGCTTAAAAACCTTTTCTCTTTCTAAAAATCAAAAAATACTGTAAAGTTTAGCAATGATGTGACCGCCGCTCTGCCTTGTGCAAAACCTTTTCTCTTCTCAAAAATCAAAAAATCGTTTTAAGGTTAGCACATGTGTGATCGCCGCATCGTCCTTGTGCAAAACCTTTTCTCTTTTCTTAAAATCAAAAAATAGTTTTAAGGTTTAGGCACATGTGTGATCGCCCGCATGTCCTTGTGCTAAAAAACTTTTCTCTTTCTTAAAATTCAAAAATATGTTTAAAGGTGTAGCACCTGTGTGATCGCACGCATCGTCCTTGTGCTAAAACATTTCCTTTCTAAAAAATACAAAAATATAAAATTTCAAAAAACCAAAAAACACATTTTCAAACACAAACAAAATCTGCCTCCAGAACTACGTATCCTTGATTCTCCATCAAAAGTGGAGATACGTAGGAGCAAGGCAGCCTTGTCAGGTTCACTTCCCAAAATCCAAAATCATTTCCAAACAAATTTCTCAACAAATCCTAACAAAATTTTCAACAGTTCAAAGAACTCGTAACCCTGATTTCTCATTCTGAATGAGAATACGTAGGAGCAAGGTCAATCCTTGTCGGGCCCAAAAAACTAAAAATTTTTTGTTTCTTTAATTTTATTTTAGGGATAAGTTAACATTTTGAAAACCACACATATTCGCGCCTAGGTTTAGTTAATAAGGTACTGCCTTAGGGTAGGCGTTGTAGGGTGCTAATACCTTCCCTACACGTAACCGACTCCCGAACCAAGAATCTGGTTCTAATTGACCATGCCTTATCATTTTATGGTTTTTCCGTAGGTTTCCAGAATAAACTATGGTGGCGACTCCAAATCTCTTTTCCAAATATATCTTCTTTTTTACGGATCGTTGTCCCGTCGCGATTTTTTCCGGTTGCGACAGATGGCGACTCCATTGGGGACCGCCAGAGAGTTAGGCCATTTAATTAGATGTGCGAATTCAATGTGGTTTTTCTTTGTGTTTTTCTTCCCCTTTTTCTTTATCCTTGTTTGATATTTGGCATAATTGTATGTGTGTTTGTTTTGATTATATTGAACCCTAGGATAGAAAACATGTTATATCTGCCTGGGAATCTTCTGGTTGTTTTGCAGGTGAGGGTTTGGGGTGTACAATTGCATTCTCCCTTCACACACACAATATGCATATCATGAGTGGGGCCCTATACCCGGGTCTGAGCGAAACTTAGAAAAAAAGAGATAAAAAAAAGAAAAAATATGGGAAATACTTAATGTTTGGCTATCGTGAGAACCCCAGCTAGAGTCTGTTCTCTTCATTTGTGTCTCCACATCTAGTTGATTACTCTGACTGTTGTGGAGAAACAATGAAAAGAGCCATAGCTCTGGTGGCCTTAATTTAAGCATTAGGAAGTTATCCTTGTGAGTGCATATATTTTGCCTTAGAACTTTAGTCTTTCAACATTTGATAGGGCACGAAGGGAGGAATGTGTACTGCTGCCCACATCCTATTTGTTCTTTTCGAAAATAATGACTTTGCATTTCATGTTACGCATGCATTTGTGTTGTTGGTCATGTTTTTACTTCATTATGTTATCATGCATCATGTTCATACATCATTTGGTGACATGCTGGTTTTAGGGGAAATCACATGCGTTTATTTTATCCTACAAGATGGAAGTTGATACAAGATCTGATGCTACACAACATACCGATTCTGCCGTGTTAAGAAAGAAACCTCGCCTGAGGATTCATGGGGGGAATCTGACAGGGCTGATAAGCTTAGGAAAACAACTAACGACCATAAAAAGAGAAACTTTCAAGAAAAAATATGGAAACCTATTGAGCCTAATGGAAGTGGAGGTACAGTTGCCTGCTATCACAGCCCTAGCACAGTATTATGACTCCTCGCTAAGATGCTTCACCTTCCTAGACTTCCAGCTAGCACCGACTATAGAAGAGTTTGAGCATATCCTTGGTTTACCACTGGAGGGTACTACACCGTATCAGCACTTGGAGCATCACGCCTCTATCGCAACTATTGCTGCCATAATGAAACTACAGCCCCAGGAACTCGAAGACAAGTTGGTAACAAGGCATCAAGAGCTTGGGCTGACGCAGGGGTATCTGGAATAGTACCTACAACATCTGGCTGATAAGGGAGAGTGGGAGACTTTTATGGATGTGCTAGCTCTCACCATGTACGGCATTGTTTTATTCCCTAGAATAGAAGACTTTGTGGATTATACCGCAATAGATGTATTCGTGGCGAGAAAAACGAGATCGGAGAATCCTGTAACGGTAGTCCTTGCTGAGGTTTATGGGACCATGAGTTTCTGTCACGAAAGGAAGGGGAAGAAAATCCTTTGTTGTGTGTCGGCACTGTATGTTTGGATGACTGCACGTTTCTTTAAAGGCACGGTCAATATCCAGCGTCCTTCGGAAGATCTGTCATGCCGGGGGCTTACGAACAAAGAAGGAAGTGAGTGGGCCCGTTTCTTTGCTAGTTTGAATGGAGGAAAAATAAAATGGCGTCTTCCTTGGCTTGAGCTCAAACAGCCTATCCAACACTGTGGCCGCTTTCCCAATGTACCTCTCATAGGGGCCCGTTATGGTATCAATTACAACCCTCTGTTGGTTCAGAGACAATTTGGGTATCCCATGAAAGGGGCACCTTCACTGGACTATCTCACGGCATTTTTCATCTACTATGGGGATGGGCATTGCACTGAAATGTTGAGGAAAGTTAGGAGTGCTTGGGAAAACGTTATGCGAGCAGAAAAGGATTTAAGATTGGGAGTGATGGACGACAAAGTTAATTATCACACCTGGATCTGGGAAAGGGTAAAGGAAATCAAATTGCCTTTCAAGCCGATCGTTGATCAGCTAGCTAATGAAGGGCGATCCCAAGAACTAGAAAGCGAAGAGGTGAAGCAATTGAAAATAGAGATGGAAGAACTGAGGGAAAAGAACGCTAGGTTGGAAAAGGAATTACAAACTCTACGCAACGATTTTGTTCATATGAGGAATGATAAAGAAGAAAAAGCACAGGCCTATGAAGAAATTGTCAAAAGTCAGAAGGCTGAAAGAGTTTATACATTCTAATTGAAACAAGACCTCGCGACCGCAAGCAAAAAGCTAGCCATGAGAGTGAAGGAAAGGAATGCAACATTAGAAGAGGGAAAACAATGGAGGCACCTCTACGAAGAGGTTAAAAGAGATAAGCGAGAGGCTCTGAAGAGATTGAGAGAAGCGCAGGTTCAGGTAGAAAAGGCGGGGCACGAGATGAAGGAAATGACCTTGTCTTTTGAGACAGATATGAACCAAGAGCGTTGGAAGCTAGCAGAAGCAGAAGAAGAGCATCGCACCATGATAAAACAAATGGAGGAGTACATTGAGGAGCAAGAGGAACTGTGGAGGTCAATGGAGTTTGAAGAGAGGCATCATGCCTTGGTAAAACAAATGAAAGACCGCATCACAGTGCAAGAAGAGGCTGTGAAGCATTGGAAGAGAAGTTTTTCCCAATTGGCTATGTTGGCAAACGGAGCGATTGAAGACATCCCCAAGATGGTGTTGGACGCCGAAGCCATGACCCACTTTTGTAACCCGCCTCACGAGATAATGCTTTTTATTAACCATTGTAAAAGGCTAATAGGCGAAATGAAAGCCTTCATTGCTCGAGATAGAAAGTGATTCATGTCTTGTTAGATTTTCTCTATATGAAAGACGTGAGATGTGTTGTATGGTATCAACTTGTATCAATTTCCATCATTAACGTTGTCGTGATCTTATGATTTCCACCTATCACTAGCATGCATCGCATTTTTTTTTTCTTTTCTTCTTTCCCTTTTTGCCTGACACATTTTCATTTAACTTAAGTTAATAATAGCGAAGTAAAAAAAAAACGGCCAACTTTCCATGACATCCCTACAGGACTCGAGCCAATTCAAGGATTATGGAGAGCTGGGAAGAGTCACAAGAATCCATCAAAGCTGAAATGAGCCAGTTGAAAGACCAGGTTGGCCAAATCTTGGTCGCCCTTGAATCCCTGAAGGCTATTGGAGAGTCTTCGTCTACATTGGTTGGCGGGAATGCCCATTTTTATCCACCGTTGTTCAATGCTATGCGCCAATCGATTCCTTTCCCGTTGTACGGGTTACCCCCGGAATACACTCCTCCCGTAGGAGAATATTTGGAAGGGGAGCATGCGTCGTTTCCCATTCCCACAACTGTTGATGTACCGCCAATCACTACTCAGGTACCTATCTCTATGGCAGCTCCCTTGGTAAGTGCACAAATGAATGAAGCAATTACAGTTGAAGGAACACGAGTGACTACAGTACCGCATATGATTGTTAACCACGATTCTTCAGCAAGAGCCGCATCACAAACCGCGGCGCATGCGGGAACCAACATCACTAACGGAGCTAAAAACAGACTAGAGATTCTGGAGGAAAAAATGAGGGCTATTGAAGGGATGGAAAATTATGGGTTTGGAAATGTTGCAAGACTAAGTTTGGTTCCTGGAGTAAAAATACCGTATAAGTTCAAAGCGCCAGAATTCGAGAAGTACAAGGGTGATACATGCCCTAAAAACCATCTAGCCATGTATTGCAGAAAAATGGCTGCGTATGCTATGACGACCAGTTACTCATCCATGTTTTCCAAGATAGTCTAGTTGGGGTAGCATTAAATTGGTATACTCACTTAGAGCCATCTCGAATCCATTGTTGGGCAGATCTGGCCGACGTCTTTGTAAAACGGTATATATACAACACACATGTAGCACCGGACCGTCTGCAATTACAGAATATGGGGAAGAAAGACAATGAAACCTTCAAGGAATATGCCCAATGGTGGAGAGAATTGGCCACACAAGTAGAGCCGCCTTTGTTTGAAAGAGAAATGGTGGCAATGTTTGTAAATACGCTCCAGCCACCGTTTTATGAATATATGGTGGGGAATGTATCCGTCAATTTCGCTGACGTCATCATAATCGGCGAGAGGATAGAAATTGGGGTGAGGAATGGGAAGATTACAAGTAGCCCATCTGCGGTGGAAAACTCTAAAAAGAAGCCCTCTTTCAATCCAGGAAAGAAGAAAGAAGGAGATGTGCATGCAACATCGGCAATGCCTCTATGGAGAGGTCATGCTCCTATTCACAAGTATAGGCCATACCTAGGCCAGCCACCATATGCAGCCAATACGACTTTTGCTCATCCAATCCGGCCTCAACAACAACAAGGATTTTACCAATCACAACCCATCACAAGCAACGCTTGGAGGACTGTGCCAAGTGCAAATCCAAATCCGAATGCAGGTCAAGGCACTTACCTAGGAAAAACCCAGGAAAGAAACCTTGTTCACTTCACCCCCATCCCTATGACTTACACTGAATTATTACCTCACCTCGTCAAAAGGGGTCTGGTTGCTATATGCCCAATGATACCCATGCAGCCTCCATACCCTAGGGGTTATGATGCCGACGCCAAGTGTAGTTATCATGGGGGAGGAGTGGGTCACTCAACTGAGAGGTGTATGGCCTTCAAGCGTAAAGTGCAGGCCCTAATTGACGCTAGGTGGCTAAAATTTCAAGAAGATAAACCTAGCATTGATGCTAATCCGTTATCCGGGCATGGGAGTGCCTCGACAAACGCCATTGAGGTTAAGGAGCATAGACTGATAAAGGATGCAAGCGAAATCCGAAGTTCCAGAAGATTCATTTTTAAGGAATTATTGAAGTTGGGTCTTTTAAGTGGGGATTATGATTTGGGAAGAGCATGTGGACTCCATCCATGCACGGAACACTCTATAGAGGAATGCGTTGAATTCGAAGAGTTTCTACAAGATCTGCTTGATAGGAATTTGATGCAAGTATGCTACGAAGACAAGGATGATGAGGTGTTTGCACAAATTGGTATGGAGCCTGATGTAACTTTGCCAGAGCCGTTGATAATCCGTTTCACTCGAACCACCCCTACACCAGTAATTCAAGGAAGATCGCCCGTTGTCATCCATACACCAGTTCCTTTTCCTTACAAAAGCGAGAAAGTTGTCCCTTGGAGGTATGGGACACGTGTAGTCGACAAAGGACAGTGCATTGAAAGTCAATTCTCTAGCCAGGATCCAACTGTTGAAAATATATCAGGCATCGGCGGAATGACAAGGAGTGGTCGAATCTTCACGCCACCAAACTTGACGAGAAGAGGAGCTAGCAATAATGAAACACCAATTTACGCAAATACTAAGGACCATTTAAAAGGGAAAGGGGTGCAGGCAAAGGAGACCCCTGACAAGGCGGACAAGAAAGAAATCTCTAAGAAGGAGGCTTGCGAGTTCTTGAAATTCATACAACAAAGTGAGTACAAAGTGGTGGAACAATTGAATCGTACGCTTGCCCGGATCTCCCTGTTATAGTTACTTATGCACTCGGCCTCCCATAGAAAACTACTAATGAAGATACTGAGCGAGGCCCATGTGGAACAAGGTATTTCCCTGAACCAATTCGAGGGCATTGTCAGCAACATCACTGCTAATAATTACCTCACCTTTACCGATGAGGAAATACCTGAGGAGGGGAGAGGGCATAACAAGGCTCTCCATGTCTCCGTAAAATGTTTGGACCACGGCATAGCACGCGTGTTGATAGACAACGGCTCCTCCCTAAATGTCATGCCCAAGATGACATTAGAGAGGCTACCTTGTGACGGAATGCAGATGAAGCCAAGTTCTATGATTGTGAGAGCATTTGACGGTAGCAAGAGGGAAGTCATGGGAGAAATAGAGTTGCCGGTCCAAATTGGCCCATGTGATTTTCAAATAACCTTCCAGGTCATGGATATCCTCCCAGCCTATAGTTGTCTATTGGGTCGCCCATGGATCCATTCTACAGGAGTTGTGCCTTCCACACTGCACCAAAAACTGAAATATATCATGGGAGATAAGCTGGTAATAGTTTCTGGAGAGGAGGATCTCCTTGTGAGTGGGCCATCCTCCACCCGTTACATAGAGGCAGCCGAGGAGGCTCTGGAAACAGCTTTTCAATCACTAGAAATTGTGGGAAACACCTATGTTGAGTAATTTCCTATGAACCCACATTTATCATGCACCTCTATCATGATGGCCAAGGTCATGCTGAAAGAAGGTTATAAGTACGAGAATGGTTTAGACAAGTATGGACAAGGATGTACATTCCTATTGGAGGTGATTGAGAACAAAAACAGGTATGGCCTAGGGTACAAGCCCAGCAAGGAGGATAAGAAGAGGTTGATTGAGGAACGGAAGGAGCGTAGTTTGGCTCGGATGGGGAAACGGGAACCTAGGGCGAGGAAAATCCACATTTGCGGTATCAAAGAGAGTTTTCGCAGTGCGGGATGGGTGAACACTAGCCATATAGCGATGGTGGAAGAGGAAGCTAGATCTGAAAGCTCAAACTTCGTGTGGGCTTGCTCCCCCCGGATGCACAGCTCAACAATTGGAAAACTTTGGATTTACCCGTGATGTTTAATCCAAACAAAATGTAATATGTTAATTAACCCTGTTGTTTTACCCGGAGCTTTAGAATTCATGATTTACGGGTTGACGTTTTATTTTCGGTGTGATAATTGAATCGTGTTCGTTCTCATTTCTATCATCATTTAGCCTTTTTCATCGTTCTTCCTGTTTATTTATTCTTTTTCGCAAACTTAAATAATGCAGATATGACAATGAATGTTTTGAAAATAATAATGTCAATATCCCTAAGTGGGAGCACCCTGTCATTAATGCGGAAGATGATCTGGAACCCTCGCCAGAGCTTTTGAGATTAGTGGAACAAGAGTCTAAAGAGATAAAACCCCATCAGGAAGAGATTGAAATACTTAACTTGGGAGAGGAAGACGAGATAAAAGAAGTAAAGATCGGCACTACCATGAAAGAAGAAGTAAGGGAAAGGTTGCGAGTCCTATTGAAGGAATTTAAGGACGTCTTTGCTTGGTCGTACAATGATATGCCTGGCTTGGATACCGATATCGTGCAGCATAAACTCCCCCTTTTACCAGAATGTCTTCCGGTCAAACAAAAATTAAGAAGAATGAAACCGGAGATGTCTTTGAAAATCAAGGAAGAGGTGCAGAGACAATTTGATGCAGGATTTTTGGCTGTGGCAAAATACCCGCAATGGGTGGCAAATATCGTACCAGTACCCAAGAAAGATGGTAAAGTTCGGATGTGTGTGGACTACCGTGATTTGAATCGGGCAAGTCCAAAAGACAATTTCCCACTACCACACATCGACACTCTAGTCGATAATACAGCCAAGTTTTCACTATTTTCATTCATGGATGGTTTCTTGGGATATAATCAGATCAAGATGGCACCTGAGGACATGGAAAAGACTACCTTCATCACATTGTGGGGAACATTTTGTTATAAGGTGATGTCTTTCGGGCTCAAGAATGCTGGGGCAACATATCAAAGGGCGATGGTGACACTTTTTCATGATTTGATGCACAAGGAGATCGAAGTGTATGTGAATGACATGATTGCTAAGTCTGAATCAGAAGAAAAGCACATTCTCAACTTGAGAAAATTATTTGAAAGGCTGAGGAAGTTTAAACTCAGGTTAAACCCTGATAAATGCACGTTCGGAGTGAAATCTGGAAAATTGCTAGGCTTTATTGTTAGTCAAAAGGGAATAGAAGTAGATCCTGACAAGGTACGAGCAATAGCAGAAATGCCTGCCCCTAGGACGGAAAAAGAGGTTCGAGGTTTCCTGGGTAGATTGAACTACATTGCTAGATTCATCTCCCAATTAACCGCCACTTGTGAACCGATATTCAAGTTATTGCGTAAGAATCAGGCTTTGGTTTGGAATGAGGATTGTCAGGCCGCTTTTGAAAAGATTAAGCAATATCTACAAAACCCTCCGGTGTTGCGTCCACCTGAGCCAGGAAGACCACTCCTTTTGTATTTGACTGTGTTGGACGAATCAATGGGTTGTGTATTAGGTCAGCACGACGAAGATGGGAAAATAGAGCATGTTATATATTATTTAAGCAAGAAGTTCACAGAATGTGAACAACGATATTCATCATTAGAGCGAACTTGTTGCGCGTTGGCATGGGCTACTCATCGCTTGAGGCAGTATATGTTAAGTCACTCTACTTGGTTAATATCTAAGATGGATCCCATCAAGTATATTTTTGAAAAGCCCGCTCTCACTGGAAGGATAGCTCGGTGGCAGGTGCTATTGTCAGAGTATGACATAGTATATGTCACTCAGAAATCCGTCAAAGGTAGTGCATTGGCAAAATACCTGGCTCATCAACCCATCCACGACTATTGGCCAATGCAACCCGAATTCCCTGACGAAGATACCATGGCTCTATTCAAGGAAGGCCGAGAAAACTGAGACGAAGAAGCATGGATATTATTATTCGATGGAGCCTCGAATGTAATGGGACATGGCATTGGGGCAGTTCTTATCGCTCCAGATAAGCAGTACATGCCAATGACATCAAGGCTGTGTTTTAATTGCACAAATAACATTGCAGAATATGAGGCATGCGCTATGGGTATTCGGGCGGCAATAGAGTCCAAAGTGAAAATTCTGGAGGTATATGGAGATTCAGCTTTAGTCATCCACCAATTGAAGGGAGAATGGGAAACAAGGGATGCAAAATTAATTCCTTACCAAGCTCACATCAAGGGATTAATGAAGTATTTTGATGACATCACATTTAACCACATACCGCGGGAGGATAACCAATTAGCAGACGCATTGGCTACTTTGTCATCCATGTTTGAAGTTGACCAAAATACAAAATTACCAGTGATTGAAATGAAGAAGCCATGCGGAGCCAGCATATTTCCATTTCATCAAGGAGGAGGTGGATGGTAAACCTTGGTACTTTGATATCAAGCACTATCTTAAGACCCGAGAATATCCAGAAAAAGCATCTGAAAACGATAAAAGGTCGTTACGAAGGTTGGCTGGCAGCTTTATTTTAAGTGGGGATATTTTATACAAGAGAAATCACGACATGATTCTCCTCAGATGTGTAGATGCAAAAGAAGCCGAGTGGATATTGAAAGAAGTGCACGAAGGTACATTTGGAACACACACGAATGGGCACTCAATGGCTAGGAAGATCTTGAGAGCTGGTTACTTCTAGTTAACCTTGGAAAATGATTGTTGTACACACGTGAGGAGGTGCGAGAAATGTCAAATGTATGCAGACAATATCAATGTGTCGCCCACGACTTTGAACGTGTTGTCTGCACCATGGCCATTTTCGATGTGGGGGATAGATGTTATTGGAGCTATAGAGCCAAAAGCGTCAAATGGACAACGCTTCATACTAGTCGCAATCGATTATTTCACCAAGTGGGTTGAAGCTGCTTCTTATGCCAACGTGACTAAAAAGGTGGTGACCAGATTCATAAAAAGGGAGTTGATCTGCAGATACGGGCTACCTAACAATATCGTCACTGATAATGCCACCAACTTGAACAACCGGATGAGGCGGAGTTATGTGAGGAGTTCAAAATTCATCATCTTAATTCTTCTCCTTACCGTCCAAAAATGAATGGGGCAGTAGAAGCTACTAATAAGAATATCAAGAAGATCGTACAAAAGATGGTGGTCACTTATAAGGATTGGCACGAAATGCTTCCCTTTGCTTTGCATGGATATCGTACATCAGTACGAACGTCAACTGGTGCAACACCTTTCTCGCTGGTGTATGGGATGGAAGCAGTGCTTCCATTTGAGGTAGAAATCCCATCTCTACGAATTTTATTGGAAACCCAATTGGAGGAAGCCGAGTGGGTTCAAGCTCGTTTTGATCAGCTCAATCTCATCGAAGGGAAGAGACTGACAGCGGCGTGCCACGGGCAATTGTATCAAAAAAGAATGAAAAAGGCGTTCGACAAAAAAATACGCCCAAGGGAGTTTCATGAAGGCGAACTGGTGTTAAAGAAGATATTGCCCATACAAAGGGATTTAAGAGGCAAATGGACCCCAAATTATGAAGGGCCGTTTGTAGTAAAGAAGGCATTCTCTGGAGGGGCACTAATCCTCACAAGGATGGACGGAGAGGAGTTACCTTTACCAGTTAATTCTGATGCGGTAAAAAGGTTTTACGCATGATGATTCCGAGATAGGGGATGCTACTAAGGGATATTAACGCTGTTTTGTAAAAATTTTGTTGTATTTTGTGTTATTTCTTTGAATAAATACCCTGCGATTTCATCCATTATTCAACTTTTTCGTTTTTGCCTCTCGTCACGATTCATATCACACTGAGTTTTAAAGTAAAATAAAGGGAAATGACAATGATTAAAGCATCACGGATGTATCCATTGAGCTCAAACTTGCTCCTCAAGGATGTCGTGGAAGAAAACAAATAAAAAAAATTTTCAAAAAAAGGGGTCATCGAAATTTCAAATTGTTCAAATTGTTTTACGAGTTCATTGTTCCTCTCTTCCCATTTCTGCATTGTCTCATACGCATAATGGTTCAAAAATTTTGCTCATGACGTTCACTTCGGATCTCATTTTATTTGAAGTCATTTTTCCTTATTTTCTTTGTAAATAAGTTATTTTCTTTTGGACCCATTTTTCCATTATTTCGTTTAGATTAGAAATTTTTTTTTTAGACTGAATGAAAAGAAAAACAACATAAAAATCTAATTTATTTCATCATCAGAGCAGGAAATTACAGTAAGGACAGAGGGAAGAATTTTGAACAAAGATACCATTTTGAATACACTCATACGATCTTGACATTATGATAAATAAAATAAAAATGCAACAAAAAACAGGTAGATCTAAATGATAGGATACAAAGTTACCTCACCTTACCGGGAATTCAAATTCAAAAAACCAAAAGAAAACACAAAAAACATGGCAAACATAAAATATGTTTAGGGGTCGATCACTGGTGATCGTTAAGCTTACAGTCCAAATATAAAAAAAAACACAAAAAAAACACTTAAAAAATAACAAAACAAGCTTCAAGAGTTGTGGTCCCCTTAGAGGGACTATTCATCATCATCATCGTCAGAGGGTGGCCGTAGAGAAAGTTCCAATGAAGGAGCCTTCAACTGGAACCAAAAGATGTGAGGGATCTCTCTTCTGTCAGGAACCGGTGGAATCGGGAAGGGGTCCAGCGTCACCCGATCTGGAACCAATGGCGTGGTGTGTGAAAGATCTCAAAGAACAAAAAGGAAAAAAATTTAGAAATGTCAGAAAGAGAAGAAAACAATAACAAAAATATGCAAAAGGGGGCTTACCATCCATAAAGGGGGGCAGGAGGGGAATTGGAGAGTAAGACGTGGTAGCAGCGGCTTGCTTTAGACATCTCTGTTTCTCACGATATCCATAATTCTGGAACCAGCAATAGACGCTGTATTCCCCGATCTCCCCGTATACCTTGAGCCTGGTCGCGATTTCATGAACTTGTTCCCTGTTCGGGTTTCTTATCCTGAACGCGAATAAGGCCTCTAATAAGGCTACTTGCTCTCTCGTGGGACACCATCTTTTACACACCAATTTGTCCTGAACTTCCAGGTTTGTTAAGTTTTTGTTCATTTTTCTAAAAAAGGAAAAAAGGAAAGTTTTAGTTTATCTTTTAAATCAGGTTTGTCCATTGTCCAGTTTGAGGTCCAGCCAGTTTTGTCTAGTTTAGTAGGTCTAGGTCCTCGCAAAGGATCCTATTAGGTCTAAGTCCAACCGGTTCATGTCCAGGTTTTGTTTTTGTTTTACCTATCATATTTTGGTTCATTAGTGTAGAAATAAAAATAAAAAATAAAAGAAGGGAAATGCGGAAATGAAGAAAAGCAGGAAAGAACAAAAAGCGGGAAAACATGAAAGAAAAGAGAAAAAATAAGAGCATAAGGAAAAGCGAACTGAATGCAGGAGGGAAAAACATAAAAGAGCATGCAGGAAAGGAAAGCAGGAAAGAACAACAGAGGGGGAAGCAAGAAAGAAAAGAAAATAGGAAAGCGTAAGGGGAAGGGAAGAAAGAAGAACGGAAGACTTAGAAGAAAAAGAAGGCAGAGAAAGCATTGAAAGAGGAGGAACAAAAAACTTAAAGGAAAGGAAGAGAGATTAAGAGCTCAGAAGACTTACCCAGAAGCGGAAGGCACACAGGGAGAAGTTCCTCGGAAGACTCAGACGTTGTCGAAGGCGGGGACGGAGGAGCCTCGCAGAATCCAGACGCTCAAGAGAAGGAGAGAGGGATAGAGAGAGAGTGAGATCCGGAAATGTCGCTCGGACGCCGAAGGGATACCCGTTTTATAGCCGAAAAATTTCCACTGTGGCTACAGTTCCGGTCGCTGCAACCGTCTGGTGTCGGTACTGATCTTTTTTCAAAAAAAAAAATAAATTTTTTGAAAATGTTCAAACTTTCTTTTTTTTAGCCCAACTCGGCCCATTACATGCATATTTCTCATTAAATTCTATTTCTAAAAGATAAAAACACAAAAAAATTTCTAGTATGTTTAATATTTTTCACATTGTGTAAATAAATATAAAATGAATGAAAAAAACATTTTTCAAACGTTTTTCTAAATCAAGTTTTCTCATATCAATTTTTGCATTGCTCACCAAGCCCAGTTTCCATGCTGGCCCGTAAGGCCCAATTTCCACATTGGCCCAGAAATGCTCATTTTCCATACTGGCCTGCAAAGCCCAGTTTCCATTCTTGGCTTGCAAAGCCCAGTTCCCATGCTGGCCCGCAAGGCCCAGATTCCACATTAGCCGAGAAATCCCAATTTCCACAATAGCTCAAAAATCCCATTTTCAATTTTGGTCCAGAAAGCCCATTTTCCATACTGGCCTGCAAAGCCCAGTTTCCATGCTGGCCCGCAAGGCCCAGTTTCCACATTGGCCGAGAAATCCCAATTTCCACAATGGCCCACAAATCCCAATTTTCACAATGGCCCACAAAGCCCATTTTCCATACTGGCCTGCAAAGCCCAGTTTCCATGCTGGCCCGTAAGGCCCAATTTCCACATTGGCCCAGAAATGCTCATTTTCCATACTGGCCTGCAAAGCCCAGTTTCCATGCTGGTCCGCAAGGCCCAGTTTCCACATTGGTCGAGAAATCCCAATTTCCACATTGGTCCAGAAAGCCCATTTTCCATACTAGCCTGCAAAGCCCAGTTTCCATGCTGGCCCGCAAGGCCCAATTTCCACATTGGCCCAGAAATGCTCATTTTCCATACTGGCTTGCAAAGCCCAGTTCCCATGCTGGCCTGCAAGGCCCAGATTCCACATTGACCGAGAAATCCCAATTTCCACATTGGCCCAAAAAGCCCATGTTTCCCATATTGGCTTGCAAAGCCCAGTTCCCATGCTGGCCCGCAAGGCCCAGATTCCACATTAGCCGAGAAATCCCAATTTCCACAATAGCTCAAAAATCCCATTTTCCATACTGGCCTGCAAAGCCCAGTTTCTATGCTGGCACGCAAGGCCCAGTTTCCATTGGCCGAGAAACCCCAATTTCCACAATGGCTCACAAAGCCCATTTTCCACACCGGCCCGCAAGGTCCAGTTTCCAGGCTGGTCCACAAAGCCCAATTTTCTCAAAAAAAAAAAACAAAAAAAATCTGTTTTTCAACTAGTATCATCATTTTCATTTCATATTACTTTTCTTCATGCATAAAACCAAAAAATACGCAAGAGTTGAGTCATTTGTTTTCGATGCAAATCATCCATTTTATGAGATTTCAAAAAAAAATGTAATGGATGTCATAATCTCCTGGAGTCAAATGATCAAGTCACATATTCTTAGGAGATATCTGTGTGTGCATTACTTGAAAACATCATCCTTCAGCCCTCACTATACCAAGAGATTGACCCAATCATTTTCTTGAGCCCAAATAATAAACACCAAGTTTTACACTGGGGCAGATTTTCCATTACCTCCACTGGCTTTCATTTGGGAGATTCCTGAATCCGTTAGGACAAAACAAAAAAAAGGGAAAAATAAAAAATGAAAAATGACTCTTGTTGAGATCATTTAGTCTTGTCTCCTAATTAATCTTTCGAAAATAAAGCAACCAAAATTTGAAATGATGTGTGGCCATCTTTCTTCATCCAAAAAAAAACAACAAAAATATATCCTTTGATACCAAATTTGAGCCAATGAGAATTTTCTTTTCAAAAATTTACCCAAACAAGGGTTACCATCACAGTAGAAGTCGACTCAAATTGCAAAGGAACACACTTAGTGATCAAATGAAGAGAATTCCTCAAAAGTGAAGCAAAAATGGAAAAATCACAAAGTGATGGCAAACAAAAAATGAAATTTGAGAAATGGCAAAATAGTTAAAACAGATTTGACGAATAGCTGATACAAGGTGTAGATGGTAACTCTTGTTTCAAATAACCCAAAAACATGTATTTGAGCCTTTATATCTTTTCTTTCAACACCCTTTAGCCCAAGCCACATTACAAGCCTAATAAAAGTCCACACAGATTGAATAATGGTTGCTTAAATTTTCATAAAGCTTAATTTTTGAGACAAGACAAAAATGACTAACAATGCAGTTGTAAAAAAAAATGATGATGAAAATAAATGTCCTCGGAAGAAGGGAACTCCCTATTGATCAAAATTATACAAAGGAAAATCAAGCCAATTTGGGCAATCCTTTCAAGCCAATCATTTCCATATCCATCACAAATTTCTGAACAAATTCATATCCCATTCAAACTCTTACCCCGAGTCCCAAACTTGGGGCAACTTTGTAAGTTTTTCATAACCTTTTCGCCTGTTCTTCAAAACCAGGGCAACTATGTGAGTTTCATATGTTTCGGCCTGGCCCATTCAGAGTATTGAGCAACTTTGTTAATCTCAATTTTTTCATCTGAATATTCAAAGCTCATACAAAGACTGGGGCATCCCTTGTTGGGCCTTGCATGATCTTGGTTCGCCCCGAACTTCAAAAGTTTATAACCACCAAGACTGGGGCATCCCTTGTTGGGCCTCGCATGATCCTGACTCGCCCCAAATTTCATAAATCCATTACCGCCAAAATTGGGGCAATTTTTTTTGCAAATCCCACATGATATTCTCACTCCCTGATTCATGACTTATTCCCTCACAATTCACGGATACATTTGTCCATACCAATCCTTTTACCATGCTCCAAATTGGAGCAACTTCTGAGTATCTACTACCTCACATTGGCATTTG